ATATATATATATATATATATATCATGTGCATATTAGCTTACCTGTAAAATACTTATTTACCGGTATACTAATTAATCCCACTTATACTGTTATATTCCATGTTGTTGTTTACTTTTTTTTTCTTTTGGACCTTGTAAATTTTATATTTTACTTTTCGGCACTTTATTTATGTACCCTTATTGCATGCTTTAGTATTTCTTGTTTGTTTGTTCTTTGTTTTTTTTAGCGAGTCAAGTCACTTCTTCTCATCCTGAACATTTCATTGTACTGTACCTTATGTTAACCTGCATATGACAAATAAACATACCGGTAACTTGATTACAGGTGTGGCTTGGTGCAAAGTTATTGTTAATAGTTCAATATTATTATCAAGAGTTTAGTAATCGGACAGCTTGTGGATAATAACTGTCTTTGAGTCTTTTCATACGTGATGGCAGACTCCTATTGCCTGTCTGAGGGTAGTAAAGGGAAGAGTCCTTGTGCTGGGTGGGTGTGGTGCTTAATGATGCTGCTTGCTTTATGCAGACATCGGCTGTGGTAGATGTCCTGGATGGTGTGGAGACTGGTCCCAGTGATGTCCTCTGCTGTTGGCACCACCTCTGTAGTGTTTTCAGGCTCCGACTGGTGCAGTTCCCATACCACCCCGTGATGCAGCCAGTTTTGTTTTGTTAAACGTTTCTCGTTGTATTATCAATATAGTTGTAGTTGGATTTGATTCAGATATTGTTTATTTGTGTTTTACATGATTTTTAGCTGTTTGAGATTATTAAATTATCCATAAAAAAACTGGGTTTGTTTTAAATGATTAAATCTAAGCAGATAATAAATCAGAAGTAATTTCTCAGCTCCTAGTTTCTGTCAGCTTTAAAGATAATGTTTGAATTAAAGACTATTCCAAGAAGATTTTCCTGTTTTCTTGTTTTATAGTTCTGGTTTAGGCTGATCTTGGTGTCATGAGTTCATAAATGCTGCTTTAGGTTTTAGACTAAATCTAAATCTGGTTGTTTGGATTATAGTTGGATTATAGATTGTATGAATTGCTTTTCCTTTCAATTTAGGCTGGTGAAATCTTTATCTTTGTTGTAGAATGACCTCCTTCCTGCAGGAGAGTTTTTCAGATATTGTTTCTTAGCCATAAAAAGAATCCTGCAGTTGTCGCTTTTCAGTCTGAGGATGTGCAGGTTTTTATTTTAAAGATTATTTATTGATTACTCTAGTTCATTCTTTCTTTGCAGCCTGTTTACATCAGTTGTTTACATCATTATTTACAGATAGTGTGTATCTACACGGGAACTGTCAACAACTTTTTGTAAAAAGTAGATTTTGAAGCGAGTATACATGTATATTTAGCTTTTTATTGTTATAGTCACGTTTTGTCAGTATCAGACTTCCTTTGAGAATCAGCGTTTTCTTTTATGGCACTTTTAAATTATTTTGCTTTTATTAAAAATAATGTGAAGTCCTTGATTTGATAAGTTTTTAACTCCTAATCTGAAACAGTCATTGTGTTCAAATTTCAAGTAATTTGAAATTATCTTATAGTTGTTTTACTGATTATGTTTGACCTGATTGGTTGCTTTTAATAATCACCCATCGAGCCTCTAAAATCCTATTGACATTATTATTATTTCTATTTTAGGCAGCTGGAGATGATGAAGACATAACAGTGAATCCGAAGAGCAGGAGCAGTCAAAATGCCTCCCAAAGTGCCTGGTGGCCACGTCCGAGGAGAATATTCTGCAGTTCAAGTAGCTGTTCGAGTTCGTCCCCTCCTTCCCAAAGAGCTTCTCCACTGTCATGAGAGTTGCATCACCGTGGATGCTGAACTTCATCGAGTTACTTTGGGCCACGACCGACATTTTGTTTGTGACCATCTGTTTGAAGAAACTTGCTGTCAGGATGAGGTTTATTCTCAGTCTGTCCTGCCACTCATTGATGCATTTTTCCAAGGCTTCAATGCCACAGTCTTTGCCTACGGGCAGACAGGCTCAGGCAAGACTTACACTGTTGGAGAAGCTAATATTAGTAAGTCTAAGTTTTTTTAATTTTTTATATTGTTTCACTAAAATAATTTAGTCCATAGATAAAAGTTAATGAGTTCCTTTTCATCCCTTAGCATCTTCGATGGAGACAATAGTACAAAGAAAATGCTCATTGTTTGGACTTATCTGCTCACTAAAGCAGTTTTACTCAGTGATGAATGTTGAACTGAATCTTTAGGTTCCTTCAGAGATGAGGAGCAGGGCATCATCCCCAGAGCTGTTGCAGATGTCTTCAGGCTTCTAGATGAAAACGACCTCACAGACTTTTCTGTCCGAGTCTCCTATTTGGAAGTCTATAAAGAGGAATTTAAGGACTTGCTGGAAGTTGAGACTGCCAGCAAGGACATCCACATACGGGAGGACAAAGGCAACATCGGTATGAAAAAAGCAGCTTTGCGTGTTTCTGAGCTTGTTTTGTGGTTGGAACATGATTTAACTTCATTCTTTATCTTATTTCTGAATGACTCTTCAGTTTTGTGCGGCGTGAACGAGTGTGAAGTAGAAGGTCTTGACGAGGTGTTGAGCTTACTGGAGTCAGGAAACACAGCCAGGCACACCGGAGCAACGCAGATGAATCCAAACTCCAGCCGGTCACACACCATTTTCACCGTATACATGGATCAGCGTCGTGGAAGCTCTCGCTTAAACGGGACCGCTGCGAGCACTGGAGCACAAATGTTGTCTTCCAAGTTCCACTTTGTTGACCTGGCAGGGTCAGAGCGCATCTTAAGGACGGGTAACACCGGAGAGAGACTGAAAGAGAGTATCCAAATTAACAGCGGTCTTCTGGCTCTGGGAAATGTTATCGGGGCCCTGGGAGATCCAAAGAGAAAAGGCTCTCATATTCCATACAGAGATTCTAAAATCACAAGGTTGGTTCTGTTAAGAAAACCATTCTCACAAAACATCATTTTATGTTGTGTCTTTTTATTTATGTCGTTCTTGTTTCCACTAGGATACTAAAAGACTCTTTGGGAGGAAATTCAAAAACATTGATGATTGCCTGCATCAGCCCATCTTCTTCGGACTTTGACGAGAGTCTGAATACTCTAAACTACGCGATGAGGGCGAGAAACATTCAAAACCGAGCGACAGTCAACTGCAAGCGTGAACCAGATCGCGTGGAAGGACTGGAGCAGCAGATCAAGGCCCTTCGCAGAGCTCTTGAGACCCGTCAGCGCTCGGAGACTCGCATCATTGCTCACGGTGACCCAAACAGGAAACCTCGACTTGGAGACGGAGAAATGAGCAGGCTGCAAGCACAAAGTGCTCACTATCGGACCTGCACAGACACTGCTTACAGGTAAAAGAACATTAATTGTGTTAATGTTACATAAAATAGCACAGTTTTGTAGCTGGTTTTTGTCTGTTTATCTTCGTAAATCCACATTGAGGGTTGGGCCACACAAGAATTTTCCCATCTCTTTAGCCAAATCATAAACTTGTAGCTTAAAAAACTTTTTCTCTGAACTAAATGATTATTGGACAATGAAATGTTTTAATTTGTATTGTTTCCAGGCTACTCCTGCAGCTAGTTTGCATTAGTTTATGGTTTTCCTGGGTGTGAGATGCTGAGTATTTTCCGAGTTGATTTCTGTGCTGATCAGAATCAGAATAAGCTTTTTTTTTTATCATTGTACCGGGATACAGCGAAATTATATTCGTACAGTCGTCCGAAAGATGGGCGGAGTGCACGTTGCTGCTGCTACAAGAGCGCAACCTATTTTTCTTTGTCAGAATACTTTTTTAGATAGAAAAAGGTAAAAGGCCATGAGGATAGATAGTGGTGTTACAAAAAAGATCTCTTTACATCTTGTCCTATCAGGACACGATTTGAGACATCAAAAAACTCTGCCAGCAGACACATTTATATATGCATTTGATGACAAGACGTTGAGATTTGTCCATGAAGCACTTCCAGATAGGCCATAGTCCTGATATGTTGTTCAGCCGACAGTTCTGGTAAGCCTGCACACAAGTTCTGGGGCGGGTTGTGGGGGCCAGGGTTGCAATAGATGAAGCTTTTTCTTTAGTTTACCAATGTCCCAGGAGAACTTTAATAGTTGGCCCGCATCCGAGGCCAAACGGGGGAGTCAGATTCAGATAAGCCACAATTGTTGACTTTCTTCAGGCAGACTGTTTTTTCTTGTCAGCCTTGAGTCCTGCTGGTACTTTCAATCCCAAAATGGCCAGATTTATGGGTATTCTACTGATTCTTGCTATGAGCCTTCTTCAAGGTTGACTCCAACATGCTGGCAAGTACTAGGCCTATGCTTAGCTCATAAATCAGCTTATTTTGAGTACTCTGAGCATGAACCAAACTTCACACAGACTTGGCAGTAGGGGTTGAATGACTACATAATTTTTAAACTCGACATTAACATAATAAAACTCGTGTAGAACTCGAGTACTTGATGACGTCATAGGATCTAAAGATGCAAAAATAAATAAATAAAGCCTAAAAAAAAGTCATTATTTACAACAAAAAAAGACCAACAAAACATGGGGAGCATATATTATGCTCCTACCATTTATCATACAGCAAATAAGTCACAAGAAAACCAAAACTATTAGTTATTATTGTTAAGCTGCAAAAGTGAAAGAAACGTTCGGCACGTCAAAAACAAAACTAAAAACAGTGGGGGGGGGGTCGACCACCCTGCACCACCGCCCGCAGTGTTCCGCATTAGGTTTAGTTTTAGAGATTAATATGTTTGTAGTATTTTTTTATAGGTATAGAGATTACTATTTTTTGCTTTTTGTTTGTGAAACAAGGTCAGAGGAAGCTGGTTCTGGTTCGGTCGATTGGACCCGGTGTTACACCATATTCTGTGACATGCAACAGTGCATGCAACACCGCCCCCTACGGTCACAATATACGGTGGTCACAGAATATGGTATAACACCGGTTCGCAACACGCTCCAAACAGTCAGGAAGTTGATCCATTTTCTGTTTCCTTACGGTAGATGAACCGGAAGATTCATCTTTAGTGAAATATTTCCAGACTATTGATGCATTTCTACCTGTTTGTCAAGACTGGGCCTGCTCCGCTCAGTCCATCTGCTGGGAGGAATCCATTTTGTAACCCACGCCAGGTTCGGATCACGTGACGCAATGACGTCAGAGTCAGTCAGAGTCAGAGTTTCTTTATTGTCATTCGCACCTCATGTGGTACATGTGGTGGAGCGAAATTATGACGTAATGGGGACGTAATGACATCACCATGAATACTCGACGTGAAATTTAATAACTCGACAGATGTCCTAGGAATCGATGTGTAGATTACTCGAGTAGTCTGTTAAAGCCCTACTTGGCAGTTCTGTCATGACCGAAACTGCTGCCGATGTCTTTTTCAAAAGTCGATAACGTAGGGACCCGCAGATGCCAATAAGCAGAAACCCTGCTATCATGAATCCAATTATATAAACGTCTTCGGCATCCTCCTGAGACAGAACTGAAAGACACATCAGCTGTCAAACTCCCCACGGATCCATGACGTATCCTGCAGCGTGAGTCCCGGCAGGGCATGAGGGCTCTCCAGGACTCTGACGCTTTTTTGAAAAGATTTTGTCGATTGCGTTGAAAGTCCAGCTCACCAGATCCATAATAATATTTTATTTATTTATGCATAACAGGTTGCTACGGGAGCTGCAGAGTGAAGGGGCTTTGACAGCAGAGCAGAGTTTGAGAGTGAAAGAGTGGCTGTGCTCCGTTGAGGAGGAACGAAGCGGGCTCACCACCGCCTCCGGACCAGACAGTGGTATCGAGGACAGCGGTGCACTGAGAGGAGGCAGGCCTTCTATAAGGAATCAAGTATGTTTCTTCCAAATCAATTTTAAAGATCGCTTATGTCAAACTTTGCCCATAATTGGATCAGTTACAAATTTGTTTATGACTTATCTCCCAGGACACAGAAGCTGTAGAGGAGAGGTGGAGCCATGATCTTGAAAGTGAGGAGGAGGATGGTGTTGTTCATCTTCACTCACAGATCCAACGGTTGGAGAAGGAAAACACTGACTTCTTAGCAGCTCTAGAGGATGCTATGGAGCAGTACAAGCAGCAGGTTAACCATAGTTTAAACATAATATTGTTTTTGTCATTAAAGCAGTGACCACTTAGACTTTTAGTATGATCCTCACTAGGCTGTGTCAGTATCTGTTACTCAAATGATTTGTTGCTGACCTTGCTGTGTGTATCAGAGCTATAAGCTGCAGGATCAACAGGACTTGATAACAGAGCTACAGTGTCAGATGTCGACTCTCGGACTAATGGGCTTGGGCTTTAACACGAGACTGCGACCTCACACAGCTCCTATGGGCTCCGTGCTGCATAGGCAGAATGGAAGCACATACAGACAGGTAACTACCCAGAGGAGGTCATGAAACAAATACTCTTACCAGATTTCAGTTTCGCTGAAATCTACTGGGAAATAATGATGTTGTGCTGTCATGTACTCACCTGTTTTCCTGCTACTGGGGAGTTTCCACGAGTCTCAGTTTGCAACACATGTTTACAGGTCAGTCCTGTGGGTCATGTTGTGGTTGATCAGGATGGGAAGGTTTATGAGGACCAGGAAGTCCTAGGAGGAACAGAGATGCATTGCAAGGAAAAAGAAGGAAGTCATTTTGGCCTCTGTCAGGAGAAATGCAAGTATGTAATGGATTAAAAAAAACAAATTTATTTTTTGCCATCGCACCTGTGCTTACGTTAAGTGTGAATAAGTATCCATCTCTGTAATTCTCATTATTCCGTCAGACTCGTGAATTTGACCTGGACCAAGCGGGACTTGCTTTCAGGAGATTTATCATTTGGTGGCAAAGGAGCAACATCTCAGCAGCCCGAGTCAGATCTGCACCCCTGTTTGGCCAGAAAAGCATGTAAGTCCGATAAATATTGTGCCAATTCTTCAACAATACACTTATGCTGACTTTAAAGTATTCTGGGATGATTCAAATACACTAAAATACTCAAAAAGTCCCTGAAACAATCCTAGTTTGAGTAACTGTGCAGTGCTGAAGTGTAATATACTCTAATGACCCTCGAAGAAATGAACCAGGTGGTAGTGCTGAGCTGGTTGTTTTTACCTTTTTGTGACAAAGTAAAACAGTATGTCACTAGCTAGCTTTATTGTTCTGTTTTATTTATAGATTGATGATTTAACACATGGCTTCTCAGAGTTTTTATTAAATTGTTGAGATTGTGATGAGATGAGCCAACGGTTGCGTTCTTTCTGCCTCTGAGAAATGCAGGAATGTGGCAAAATATAAAGTGCTGTTTTAGCGTTTGTGTAAATGAAACGCACAATTCCCTTTTCAAAATGTGTATAAACAGAAAAGTGTAGTTTTTATTCTTTACCTTTTACAGTATATTTGTAGCACAGCTAGGCCTGTCACGATAACAAATTTTGCTGGGCGATTAATTGTCTCAGAAATTATTGCGGTAAACGATATTGTTCGAAATTTGACAATAATGACTAATTATTGTCAAATTTAATAAGAAATGGTTATTGTTTTGAGTGTAGTAACTTTTTTGACCACCGGATGGTAGTAAAAGACTGTTTGAACCGACGGATGGATAGTGAGGGAGTGAGCAGCGCATCTCTTTACGAAAAATGGGAGGGAGGCCCCTTGACATGACATGGGCTGTCTCTCCTTTTTTCGGTTCTCAAAATGGTGGACGCTCGGTGTGGTTCGAGCTCTTTAACATAACATTTGTCACACAAAGCTTTTAATAAAAAAATCAGTAAACAAGTTCTCAGCTTCTTTTTGCAGAAAAAAAACAACTTTTTACACGAAGGCACGAGTTTCAACCGTGAATTTTGGAGCTTCGACAAGACGGAGGTTTTTTTCCTGAGGTCGATCTGTTAGCTTAGCTCGTAGCTTAGCTTCTCAGCTTAGCTGCTTTTAACGATCCAAAAACGCGATTTTGGACGATTAAAATGGATTTTAAAGAGAAAAGGGAAAGGGAGGAGTCAGCGAAGAGCACCGGAGTTGAATCCAGTGTCTTCAGTAGAAAGAGAGAGACGAAGAAACGATAAAGCTGATAAATGTAAATGAGGTCGATAATTTTCGTTTATCGTGCGATTAATTGATTTATTGTTTATCGCGACAGTCCTAAGCACAGCATCTACAGAATGGACATATCATCCATCTTCCTTAAAGTACAAGATGTTCATGAGTATTTTGAGAAGTATTAAAATAGTGTGAATAGTGTGTTTTGACACTGTGACCCTTGGCTGGTTTTATTGAGGCGTGTCAGGTGGCGCTTCATGAAAATGCTGAACAAAATGCTGCATGTTCTGGTCTTGGAGAACCGGAACTCTTTGGTGAAAACACCTTAATAGTGTTTCCTGCTTCCATAAATTCTAACACGATGGGTCAAGCTTAACTTTAATTAGGAAAAAAAAAAAACACAATGATTTTCATAATTCTTTTTGATTTCAATAATTCTGTAAGAGACTCCTGTAAACGAGTCACTTCAAATCCAGATGTTTTACTCACAGTGATTCACACGAAGTGTGCTCTTTGCCCATCCTTCCTGACTTCTTGTGTCTTCTCATCTCTCTGTGAAGCTAATTCCAGTAGTGGAGAAAGCCTGAGAAGTTTTGAAGGGGTTTCAGAGTGGGGGCTTCTTCAGGCCCAGCAGAAGATCCGGGAGCTGTCGGTCACCATCCGTATGAAAGAAGAGCTCATCAAGGAACTGGTCAAAACAGGTAGAAATGTTTCTACATGTTCTTGTCTATACTGAATCCATGCTGTCCTCTCTTTGTATATGTCAGGTGGTTATTTTCTGTTAATGCAGGTAAAGAGGCTCAGGCCCTGAATAAGCAGTACAGCCATAAGATCACAGCTCTGGAGAGTGAAGCTGTGCAGGCTCGGCAGGAGCTGCTGGAGGCTCAAAGGCAGCTGCAGGACCTTGAGAGGCAGGAGAAGGAGATAAGTGGAGCAGACAAGACCAGAGCACAGGAATGTCGCAGGAAGATAGCTGCTGCTCAGAGCAAAGTTCAGGTTTGACTGTCACACCTAAACATGTATGCGTCAAACTGCAACAAGTGATTCCACGTGACGGATGTGGTGTTGTCCCCTCTGGTTGATTTCTGAAATGTGGTTTAGTCTTAACACCAGTCAGACCTACAGACGTGAACTTGTAAATGAGGAAATCTGTGCGGTCGGCTGTTAGGTGCTCAGTCAGCGTCAGAGGGATACGGCTCGCCTGGCCAGCCTTCCTGTTCAGAGTGAGCGTCGCGTGTTGGAGCTGGAGAGGAGCGTTCAGTCGATGAAGCAGCAGCAGGAGCAGCTGCAACGACGCCTGCGTGACGAGAGTCTGCAGAAACGACGTCTGGAGACCGAAATGCAGCGAAGAACTCACAGAGTCAAGGTGATGCTAACCCACACTCCAGTGTGCTTTCAGGAGTTGCTTACCGAAGTTATTTAGACAAAGGAGTTTGCATTTCAAACAAAGTTTATGATGTAATTTGGATAGAAGCTGTCTTTTTGTCAGAGGTGTGCTAATAAATCTGCATGCTTGTTTGTGGGCATGCCATACGAGTTCATTTAGATGGTTAGGTTTATTTTGGTGGTTTGTTAGAAAATGTCTACATGCTTTAAATTTCAGGTGTTTTTTATTCTGTACAGGGCTCCAGCAGCAATGAGCTCTTTTTAACACCGGTTTCTTACCTCTCAAATACATTTTACCTTCAAATTGTTGAGCTAAATGCTCAGAACTGACAGAGGCATCTGCAGTTGCACTTTGAAAGAGAACAATCCCTTTTCTTTGGGACTTTTGCTTTATTTTACAAACCTTTACATACCGTGTTTTCTGTCGTGCACGTCGCACCGCCCCATATGTCGCATCAGTCCAAATATGTCTAATAAAGTGGAACAATCCATAAATACATCGCTTCGCCGTATACGTCGCATTTATTATGCGTCACCGCTGACAACCCGGAAATGACGGGTGGTGTTGTGCCAAAAATCGATTGGCTGCCAAATGGCGGCTGCGGGAGCGTGCACAGAATCAGAATAAACTTTATTATCATTGCACCGAGATACAACGAGAACATGTACGTACAGTCGTCCGAAAGATGGGCGGAGTGCACGAAGCTGCTACTATAATTAGCGCGGCCCTCTTATTCTTATTCAGAATAATATTTTTGCTTAGATGACAAAAGGGAAGAAAACATGAGGAGAGACGGTATAAAAAAAAAGATCTCTCACGCCGTGTCCTAGACAGGGCACAATTTGAGCCATCAAAAAACCTCCACAGCAAAGCAGCATAAACAGACGTTATACATGAACATATAGGCGGTGAAGACATTGAATTTTTAAGGGAAAGTCGTAGCATAGTCCAGACCCCCCCCCCTCCCCCTCTCAGCCATTGTCCAGATAAGAGGTGACGTTCATCATCAGCTTGGTTGAGGTTCTTTTACATGTGCACGGCCTTGGGGAAGAGAGGGGTGAGGAAACGGTCAAAGCATCTTGGTTGTTTTCAAAACATGCCAGGAGGAGTTGAGATAAGTCCGGCATCAAGGAGCGGTGCAGCAAAATGAAACTGATTTGACGGTTGCTCCAAGCTGGACGAAGGTGGCAGGCTGAATGAGACATTAATAGTCACTTTTACCTATTACATGACACAACGGCATGCCATACTACTCGATTGCCATCTAGCGGCTGAATATGGTAGTGTTTGATAGTTTCAGTCAGAATGAATGAAAACGGTCATATCTCAGCCATAAATTGGTTTATAAATACGAGAATAAATCCATAAATGAGTTTCTTCGGTGTACAAGTTGCAGTGTATGCAAATTATGCAAAAAAAAAAAAAGTGAATTATAGGCCAAAAAATACTGTACTCAAAAATGTAGCTTAATAGATGCTGAAGTACCGTTATATAAGATGACAATCAAAGTGAATAACACATTTAAGAACTTTTGCTAAAGGGATTTTTTAAATTTACCCCAAAGCTGATTGTTATATTTTCCCTTCGCTGCTGTTTCAGGAGCTTGAAATAAAGAATGAGCAGCAACAGAAGATCCTCAGGATAAAAACTGAGGAGATTGCAGCCTTTCAGAGACAGAGACGCAGTGGCAGTAATGGATCCGTCGTCTCATTGGAGGAGCAACAGGTGCCACAAGAACATATTTATATTTTAATTTATTCTGCCTCATATATTTAAAACTTTTAGTCTTTTATGTAACAAAAAAAAAAAAAAGTTCATACAATTTCAGGAGTGATGGTTTTAAAACATGCTAGTTTCAAAATCCTGCTTTTAAACCTAACAATAATTTTAAGGAGTGCTCGAACCCAAACAGCACATTGTTTAATTTTGTGTCCTGACTCTGAGAGTAGAAGATTGAGGAACAGAAGCGCTGGCTGGATGAGGAGATGGAGCGAGTGCTAGATCAGAGGAGAGGACTGGAAGATCTGGAAGGAGAGCTGACCAAGAGAGAGAAAATCCTGGCAAAGAAAGAGGCTTTGCTTCAAGAGCGCAGTGGGCTGGAGACAAAGAGGCTCCTCTCCAGTCAGGTATTAACAAACAGATAACTCAGTTTAGTCATGTGGGAAACTAGACGCTGAGGCTCTGATATGTTTTGTCCAGGCTCTAAGTAAAGATCTGGTGACACTCACTGGACGCATTGAGTCACTCGAGCGAGAGCTCAGTGAGAGAAACGGTCTCCTTCGCAGCAGCAGTGCTCAAGACTCCCAACACATCCGTCAAGAGATCTCCAACCTGCGCCAAGAGAAAGATTCACTGCTTAAACAACGCGTTGAGCTGGACGATAAACTGCGGAAGGGAAACCTGCTCTCACCTGAGGTCAGAAAAAGCTTCAAACGCTTCACCACATTTGAACAGTCTGCGCTGTTTAGAGTGGGACTGGGTGGATGTGGGCTCACGCATTCTGTTTGCTGTGATGTTACCAGGAGGAGCGAACTCTTTTCCAGTTGGACGAGGCCATCGAGGCGCTGGATGCAGCGATTGAATACAAGAATGAAGCCATCACTCAGAGGCAGAGGCAGCTCAGGGCTTCTGCCAGCATGCTCTCCCAGTGGGAAATGAACCTCATGGCCAAGCTCAGTTATCTGTCCGCCTCCGAGACCAGAGCTCTGCTGTGCAAGTACTTTGACAAGGTTTGGCAAACTTTTTCTGTGTTCTCATCTTCACGATAAAACTCTGAAATGAACGACAAGCGTGCTGAGCGACATTCTGGTGGACGCGTTCTGCAGGTGGTCTCCCTGCGTGAGGAGGAGCGTAAGCTGCAGATCGCACTGACTGGGCTGGAAATACAGCTGGACGAGCAGCAACGGCTGGTGCAGTGGCTGGAAAACGCACTCGATCGTGCACAGTTTGACACCGATCGCCGGCTAACACAGCAGCAGGGGGAACACGAGAGGAGTATGCAGCTGTTGTTGCAGCAGTTTCGAGGTGAGAATCTCACAACAAATCTTTAAAGGAGAGTTCTATAAATGCCTCACCAAAAACAGGTTGTTCTTATCACACATTTATTCAGAACCCAACTACCTGCTGTGTGTGTGCGCGGTTGAGATGTTTTAAAGTCATTGGATTAGTAGTAGTGAGTGTATGCTTGTGTTTGGCCTCTTTTTGCGACAGAACAAATGGACGAGGGCCTGGCAGGAAGGCAGCGGCAGTACGAGGGATGGATCCACAACCTCAGCAAGGAGCTGAACCACTACAAGGCAGCTCATGTGGAGCTCAGCAGCAGACTGAGAGAGCTCTGTGGTCCAGCCAGTCAGCTTAAAGAGCATCCAAAAGGTAAAAAAAAAAACTGATCAGAAGCTTTTTTACGTCTATGTATACTTTTTATAATCACTGAATTCAAAGCTGGAGCAAAAAGCAGTAATAAAGACAGAGATTTTTCAGAGACAAACTACCATAAATGTTTCCATAAATGTTTCCATAAATGTTTCCATAAATGTTTCCGTACCTACAGACATAACTGGAAAACAGTCACCTCCGATCTTCATGAGAGTTTTTTGCTGTTCTAGTTGTAGCTTGTTTGCTGTCATGTAGCCTATTTTTTTGACCTATAAATCACAGGTTTTTTTTACATAATTTGCATGCCTTGCAACTTAAACACTGAAGCGACTTGTTTATGAATTTTTTTCCCATATTTATAAACCAATTTTTGACTGAGATCTGACCGTTTTCATTCATTGACTGAAAATATTGAACACTACCATTTTCAGCCGCTAGATGGCACTCGAGCTGTATGGCATGCTGTTGTGTCATGAAATAGGTAAAAGTGGCTGTTAATGACACAATCAGCTTGCCATATAGTTCCACCTTCGTCCAGCTCGCCTGGAGCAACCGTCGTATCAGCTTCATTTCACTTCACTTCCCCGGTGAAATGCAGCTGATTTGACCACTGAAGTGCATTTATTAAGTAAAAGTTCAACTGAGACACACCTTTACTATAAAATCAAGCAAACAAATAATTGTTTTTAGGTGTTTATCTTGTTAAATTTCAAAGAAATGCACAGCGAATCGTCCCTCTGCGCACACCCGCTTCCACGAATCGGGTTTTCAAATGCACCTGATTTGACCGTCAAAGTGCTTTTATTAAGGAAAAGTTCAACGAGACACACCTTTACTATAATTTTGAGCAAACAAATAATTGTTTTTAATCGTTAATCTTGTTAAATTCTTGTTAAAGTCCTCCCGTGCACGCTCCCGCTCAGCCAGTCGATTTTTGGCGCAACACCGGCCCACGTTTCCAGGTTGTCAGCGGTGACGCGTAATAGATGCGACTTATCGACGTGTTTACGTTTTTCCACTTTATTGACATATTTGGACTGAAGCGACTTATAAGGCAGCGCGACGTGCACGGCGGAGAATACGGTACTTTGATTGTACTTTGAGGAGCTTGTCTTTACTTACTTTCAGTGTACACCTGAGGTGTTGTAGTTCAATTAAAAATGTTCTGTACCTTTTCACGGTTTGCAATAATCAGAGTAATATAAATGGAAGATCATTACAAAGATGATTTAAATTGTTTTTAGTAGCAGAAACTTACATTGGTATAAATGTAGTACTTGATAGATTATTTAATAACTGTGCTTTCATCGTTACGTTTGGTGCTTTTAGCTTCTACTCGCTGTCAGAAGGTGTTTTCCTTTAACTCGCTTGCTGTCGCGTCGTCTTTCAGTCTTGCCGCCTGAAGTTAAAGCTGCTGGCAGCGTGGAGAAGCTGAGCCGTTGTCCTGAGGACGGTCCAGCAGGCAGAAGGACGGCTCATCCCGACAAACCTACCAGGACCAGGGAGGAAATGAGAGAACTTGTGAACGCTCCACTCCCGTCCACATGGAGGCGCTCTTCACTTCCCACAGAGGAACCTGCAGACATGGAGGAGCTGTGGCTTCAGGTAGCTGGAGATTCTCCTGCTAACCGGGTGGTTCAGACTGGGGTGGGGTCCTGGGGTGGGCCCACATCTCTTCCTGTGGTGAAATCTCGCCGAGAGTCTCGTCGCTCCAGCCTCAACGTTGGACCACTGGCCTCCAACAACACGTTCATAGATGTACGAAAGAATCCCGTCTGAATTTCACCGTCGTTTTCTGATGTGTCGGACATTCCTAAATGTGTTGTTTAATTTTTTTTAATTAAAATTTTGGACCTTTTTTTTTTTAATGAAAACCCACTGATGTTTCCACGAAGCACTTTTTATTCAAACTAAATGACCATGCAGATGCAAAGTGTATGTATTAACATTAAAAAATCATCTGTGTCATTTAATGTAAAGTCCTTTTCACAGTAATCAGGTAAACCTTTGTCCACTTATTTTTATTAAAATGTTTTTCACCTGTATATTCATGTGGCGAAAGGTATTATTTAAGTTCTTAATTATTTTATTTACCTTTAGTTCTTAATGGCATTAGCTGTGTGTGATGCCTCCCTGCAGATCTGGTAATTCTCTGCATTAATATTAATAATAACTTTTATCAGATAAGTCAAACCAGTTTTAATTTACAGTAACAGACTGGTGTAGAGGCAGCAACACGGGTAAAACGGCAAAGATAAAAGCAGAAGACGCAAAACAAATCCAACATTTTTAAACGTACTCAACTTTTTACAAAGCATTAAGAACAATAACAACTGACAGGTGTTGTAAAACTGAGGGACAGTGATCGTGTTGAATAACAGAATATTAAGGACACCATATTTCTGACCAAATCCTCAAGTTTGTTGCAGAAACTCGTCCCTACACGGTTTGCCTCACTCCTTTTTATGTTAGGAGTCCCACAAGTTTCTGGGAGTTCTGGGGCATCTGTAACAGGAAGTAAGTTTGGAGAGTTTGGGCTGAGCGCCTCAACAACGGCTGTAAAATGATGCAACCTTTAAATGTAGTGAGACTTTGAAAACCTTGTTTGTCTCAGCTCACGATTGGAAAAGCGCTAAATTAAAGAGGATGCATGTTATAATTCTGAGAAAGATAAATCTGAGTGATGATTTTTTTTTTCTGCACTTTTTGCAAAAGTAATTTACAAACTGGTGTCACCAACATCTGTTAAAAAGTTGTATCCACTGCGATCTGCTCTGTAACCAGCAGGGGGCAGTGTCACGTCAAAGTTTGGCAATGCATGTGAATTATGCATAAGTTTTGCTGAGCATTTAACTCATCTAACAGTACGTGATCTTTCCCAAGTAAAAGTAAAAACCAGATTAAAGTGAAAGGAACAATAAAAAGTCATGAGGACTGTGATTTTCATCTTTATTTAGCTCGTAATAAAGTTATCTGGTGTTTTCCTTCAACAGCATGCAGGCTCTGGACCCTCACAGATATTATGACATTCCCTTTTGCCTCCTAAACCATCAGATCTTGGTACATGTAGTCAACAAAAGTGTTACTGATAACCAGGGGCGATTCTAGGATCTGGCCTTTAGGGGTGCTTACTTAGCCCCCACTGTTGACCATGGCTCTTGGCTTGAACGACACGGCAAGCATGTAAATTCAGTAATGACATAATAAAAGTTGTTTCATTGGATCAGATGACTGTTTCTAAAACTTCTGTGAACCTTCACGGAAAACGGAGGTAAAACGTCTATAAACTGAGATGAGAAAAGATAAGAAATTGTTGAAGGGCTTAATCATAATGATTAGAACCGTCCAAAATGAGTGAAAAATAATATTGCATGACAAATCTAACAGCGTATCACTTTCTAACAAAGCACACCGTTAACCTTAAATTAACCGTTAAGAATAAACGATGTGATTATGACAGAAAATGGAGGATTTTCTTTTTGTCGCTGTTGAATTCAGCTGCTCGTGTGGTCCGCGCACGACTTGATTCTTTTTTCTGATTTAAATTTTTTATTTTTATTTTATGAAATCGCTCTGACAGCAAAGCATTCGTAATACAAAAACCAATGTCAGATGAAAACAGGTGCAGCCAAGTGTGCAGCACCTGAACGTAAGGGGCGTTTCCCTATTGGGAAAAGTTGCGATCACCGATTGGTCAAATGTGAGACAACTGGAATGATTGACAGCTGGCATTCAGCGTCTGACTCGTAAAACAAAAAGTCATAGATTTTACTCGCCCGTTTAATGCGTGTCATCATTTATTCCATATTTATTCAAAATGTATTCAAGATTTTGGTGAATCTAAGGTTTAAGAACTGAGTTTCCTTACAAAATGCTAATGATGGTTTCTAAAAATTTTAGGGGTGCTAAGCTAAAGTTTAGGGGGGCTTCAGCACCCCGCAAAAGAGGCTAAAATCGCCACTGCTGATAACCCAAACTGATACCAAAGACTAAGATCAGCCTTCAAGTCAGTCTCATTAAAGGCTTTTCTGTTGCTCTCAGAGTTTGAGAGAGAGCGGAGAACCTGTGGTGGAGCTAAAGATAAGATGTAAGGAAGTATGGGGTGCCGTTTGTAAAGCTACAGTCAAAATTAACATCAGTGTTTTGGTTTATTTAACCTTTAATAATAATAATAAAAAGTGTGTGTGTGTGTGTGTGTTGGGGGGGGGGGGGGGTTGGTTTCAAAATAATATTTTCACCATGTTATTCATGCATTTATAAATTTCATAGTTCCAAATTAAATATTTAATTTACAAGCTAAATATTTAGTTTACAAACTAAATGCATAACTTGCAAGTTAAATATTTAGTTAGTAAACTAAATATTTAGGTGTAAATTTTTAAGCTAAGCATTTACTTCCTAAACTAAATATTTAATTTGCTAACTAAATATTTAACTTGCAAGCTAGATATTTAGGTGAGAGTTAAATATTTAGTTTTTTTTTTATTAAATGTTTAGTTTTGAAAATAAATATTTAGCTTGTAAATTAAATATTTAATTACTATGATATTTATAAATGCATGAATAACATGGTTAACATAACGAAACCTACTTTTTTTCTTAATAAAGGCTAAATAAACCAAAATATTTATGTTAATTTTTGACTGTGCAACTTTACAAACGGCACCCCATAAGGAAGAGGATGTAATGTTTTGATTGAAAAGGAGAAAAATACCAACACACTGGGACGAAGAGAACAGAGAACGTCCCACAGTGGTTCGCGTTTTGCACGATCTACGTCTTTCTTCTTCGTTGAACTCGTCTTCTTTAACGATCTCTTCAACCTCCTCTACTCTCATCATGTTGTCCTGTACGACACAAACTCTGCAAGTTGAAAAGAATTCCTGTTTCGTACTGTCCACAAGTGCACTTTTAAGGTTTCATAAATGTCATCACTTATGAAAATAATCACAGAAAATTTGCCTTTAGGGTGTGCAGTATATGTATTTTTTCTGTGTACTTGTTGTGCAGTTTCAAAAGTTACTTATTCATGCAGTGTGAGAGCACAGAAGCTCTTTTCAGCAGCCTGACTTTGGTTGGCTCTTTGCTGAACAGCGTTGCTCTGTACTGCAGGAACCGTGGTGTTTAGCGACCGCCGCTCACATTTATCACTTCTTACAGTATGCCAGGGCTCAGGTTTCACTGGGTTTTAATGTGCATTTATATTTTTAGACATCACAGAGCAGCAAATAAAGAAGTAGACTTTAAACAGCTTAGATCAGGTTTAATGACCGCACAGGAGGAAAGAACATCAACGTTCACAGCACAGGCAGTGAAACCAGACAACAAGGTCATGAAGATGCTCGTGACTGCATGGCATTGAAAGAATTTATAAAAATAATCCGTAGAGATTTGGTGATTAGTACAGTCTGTTGTGTTCCGTTTCACTGCTTTGCTCTTCTTCTTGTGCAGTTTGCGTTTGTTAATTTGTACCGTTCAGAAGTCGTACTGGGAGACAAACATGGTGATTCTGGTGATGTACCGTCCGATCTGGACTCGTCTCTCCAGCTCGCTCATCTCCACCTCGGCCTCCAAAGCTGCGGGGCCTTGCACGGGGCTCACCAGCATCAGCTGACCCGTCTGACGGTCTGAGCGCTGAACAGTGAAGTGGCGGCGGGCTGGCCTCCCTCCCAGCAAGGTGAAGCGAAGCGTGTCGCCCATTGGACGCAGTGCCGAGACTCTGAACATGACGCGGGGGGCCGACAGGTTGGACACAACAGCCAGGTAATGGTAGGAGAAGGAGTTTGGGGTTTGGGAACATGCTTTATTGTCCACAGGGCAGGGGTTACGTTCACACCGCCTGCAAGACGAGAAAGGAGGGCACAAAAAGTCAAAGGTCTTATCAGAGCTGCACAAAATAATAAAATAAACCACTCGGACTTTGCTGTGCAGGAAAAGCTGCAACAGGTAATGCTCACATAGGGGACGTCTTCACGTATGTAGCATGAGGGATTTTGGGGCAGTCGACACAAACACACTGGAAACCTCCGTAGGTGTTCACACACATCTGGTCCCTCGTGCAGTTGTTTTGTCTGTTGGCACACTCATCGATATCTGAGCGAAAAGATTCAAAGACGACATTTACAGCAGTTGGAAAAACTCTTGGAATATTTTTCAGCCGGGAAAGAGGAGAGGCACATTTACAAAACAACGAAAACCAAAGTTTATTTCATTTTTGTTGGGGCAGTTTGGATTGAACCATTAATAGTTTTTTGCCTTAAATTTAAATATTGATCCAAGAATTTAGTTTTGCGACATATTTTCCAGCGTGCAAGTTGCAGTTTTTTTTGCATAGATTTGTCAGTTCTGCGACTTATAAGCCAAAGCAACTTATATGCAGGTTTTTTTTTTCCCATATTCATAACGCTGACGCTTTAAATGTCAAAGAAGTGCAACAGCGAGTCCTCCCGCGCGAACTCGCTTCACTCAGCTGGTGCAGGCGGAGGAACGCTGGAGAGCTTACGGATAAGGCCATGATGGATGGATGGATGGATGGATGGATGGATGGATGGCGCAGTGCTGCCCTGGCAAAATGAAGCTGTTTTGACCATTAAATAAATGCATAATAAATGCAACTTATACGGCAGAAAATATGGTAATCAGGGCATTCTGTAATGTTTGAAACAATCTGAGGGAATCCTTTAACCGATAATGAAACCGTTAGAAAACTCTCCGTGTCTTTTTACTGAGGTAAAGAACTTGCAGATAAAGAAATATGAAAATAGAAAACATGCAGATGTAGTTTTATATGGTTTTATATTTTACAATGCACTGATCACAGAGAGGTGCAAGGTGGGTGGATTGCTCTGCAGATATCTACAGTTTGTTTTATGTTTCAACTTGTTTCGTTTCTTTACTTTATCCCTTCATGGTAATTTATTGGCTCATATTGGTCCATTTTGCATTTTTTTCTAGTTATTTCAATACAATTTAAATTAGGAGTCTATTTGTTTCACACTTTTTACATTTTGCATGTCTTTTTTTTTTAGCTGTTTCTTTTAAGGCTTGCCTTTTTGTGCCATATTTTGTCTCCCATTTTGATTATTCTGTCTTGTTTTTAGACAGATTGTTTTTGTCACAGCCCCTCTTTCAGTGTGAGGGAAAACAGAGAACACTTACAAAATCAGCATAAAACAAAACAAGAAGTTCACCTTTACAGCTGCGTCCATCGGGTGTAAGCTCGTACCCAGCAGGACAGGAACAGCGATATCCTCCAGGTGTGTTAATACACTTATGTAAGCACAATCTTCCCGCCGCTCCATTATGAAAGAGCTCACATTCATCTATATCTAAAGAGCATAACAGACCCAGATTAATCATCCCAAACAGAAACAGTGAAGCAGATATAATTAGTAGTTTAGGCCCCGGTTAAGTAGAAATGATGAGGAGTACCCATGCAGGTGTAGCTGTCTCTGCCAGAGATGGTGTATCCTGGCTCACAGGTGCAGTGGGTGGTCCCCTGCACGGTGGCGCAGCGTGATGGACGAACATGCGGCCCGCTGGTGGCAGCTGGTAAAACGGTAGCAGCAGAGGCAGCAGAAGTGTTTGTCGTGGTGATAAAGACTGAGCAGAGAGGAGAAGAGAACTGGGTGAAGGTTTTTGTTGTAATACGTTTAGTTCAGCAGCAGCTCTGTGTCCGGCCAACACCTCCAGAGTTGATTTCTTCAGCTGACGGTCTGTGACTGACGCAGCTGTTGATGATTTGTGACAGCGTCAGTCACAGCTGCTAACATCACAAACAGAGTTTGGGTCAACAACTGCAGCACGGCGTTTTTAATTTTATACTCACTGAGATAAAATGTGCTTTTATTATAAAATGAAACCTCAGCATGAAAAACTCTAAAATATTAATGACCATAAGCTTAAAATTGATATAACAGGTCATTTATTGTTGCGTTTTTAATGATGGAGGCTTTATGGGCTTCCATCATACTGTCAGTCTGAAACATAACTCATGTCTTTCCGTAAATCATGTCTTTAAAGAACATGTAATTAGGAATGCATTTGTTAGCCTAAATGTACTGAGACATATTGTAGAATAAAAAAGTGAAGTCCAACACATTGTTTCAACACAAACATAAGAACGAAAGAACTGCTTTAAAACTCTGTTTAAGTCAAATTAAACTAATTGTTCATCTGATAATTCCTTATGCATTTTATAGGGATGCACAATATTATCGTCGTGGTATCCGTATCGGCCGATATTAGCGATAAAGTTAAATATTGGACATCGGCCATTCCATCAAAATAAGTCACCTATATAAAAGGTGCTATATATATATATATATATATATATATATATATATATATATATATATATATATGCAGCACCAGCACAACATTATGACATCACACACCCCGGTGAGTTTAGATTTGTGAAAATTTACAAATTTGCACTGTTCGAGTGTTGTCATTGTGTTAGAGAGAGTAAATGTCATGAATAAATTTGACATTAAACATAATCCAAGTTGAAGTGTTGCATCATTTTTAGACCCTTTTTGGCATCTGCATTTGGTAGCAGGTCAAACTGGCAAAGACCGTGCAGAATAATGTATTTTAATTCTATAGCAGAGAAATCTACGTCGTTTATGGAAGTAGGGTTTATGGAGGAGTGGTGGCGCAGAGGTTAGAGGAGGTGGGCCTGTGATCGGAAGATCGCCGGTTCAAGCCCTGGTACCAACAACATCAAAAATGTGGGTGGGGTAGGTGAAGCACCCACACCTGCCCCCACCTTCATTCGCCCCACCCTGGGCCCATGAGCAAGGCCCTTAACCCCCATCTGCTCCCTAAACAGGTCTCTCTTGAAAATGAGTTCTCGTGAGACTACCTGTATTAATAAAGGGTAAATAAAAAATTTTAAAAAGTAGGCCTGGGGGAAAATATCGGTATCGGTTATCGGCCAAATAAGTTTTAACATATCGGATATCGGCCAAAAATCCAATATCGTGCATCCCTAGCATTTTATTTACAAAAGCCCCTGTGTTTGATATTTATATTACTTTATTTGATAATAATATAATAATTAATTTTACTTTTTTGGATTGCTGTTGAAACTTTCAAATTTGTTCAAGCTTGGTTGAAACAGTAACTTGAGTAGTTTTGTTGACTCCGTTGACTGAAGTGTTTAGTGTGTTTTTGTACAAATCAATAAATCTATTGCAGCTTAATTAAAAGCATTTGAAAGAAATTCAACAATCAACTGATCTCAAGTAAGATTAGTTTGGACTTAAATCTCTTTTTCAACACAACTTGTTGGTACGTTACACTCACTGTAGTTTAATTGAAATAACTCTTTAACGGTCTAAAATTAATATGTGGAAAACTTCCAACAACTTCATGGATATTTGACGGACACAGGAGAATATCCTGAACTACCAGCCAGCAGAGACCCATGTTACTGTGAGAACGTGATGGTGTTCCTGATGAGGCCAAGCTGGATGTCGTCATGAAAACTACTTGGGGTCACAGTTTTCTCTTTCCTCTGCAGGACGCAGCTGAAGGCGTGCGGGGTCGGAGCTGAGCTGCTGCTCATCAGTCACCACCTTTTGAAACACCTGCTCGAAGCTTCCACATCGTCACCACAGTCTGCCTCCTTTTGACCAGAAAGATCTGAGTTTACTCTGACTTTTGCTGCGTTTCTGTCAATAAAACGTCTCTCAAGCCCTGCAACTCAAACGATACTCCTCATCTGCTTCCTGACTTTTATTTTAAAAGAAGCAAAGCTTTTTTTTTTTTAACATTTGGCTTTTTTTTTTTTGAAACAGCACGTGATCTGTGCGGCAGTTATGCAATTATTTAGATGCTTTTCTGGTGTCACTTATAACCAGAAATGTCTTGGGAGGTTATATTTTATTTTACCTTATTTTAAAGTGGTAAGATGGTAAAATAAACTAAGACATTCAACACTTGCTCTTGTCAAGGGCGGAGGCCTTTCCCCTCCTCTCCCTCTCCACTTTGCTCTGTCTGTGAAACTGCTTTAGAGCCTCTCTTCTACAAATATTCAGAATCATATTTCTACTATGGATTTGGTCAGTTGGTCCCTCAGTGCAATCGATACATTTCTTCGAAGAGAAGACTGGCTTTAGGCGAGCCGACTTGCCCTGTTGGCACGCACGCAGCTGGATATCTCATCGACTTGGAAAACTTGGTGATGTGTTTATCTCTGCTATCAATTGTGGATGTTAAGGACGCATATATAATTGGATTTATGATAACTGGTTTCTTGCTTTTTGGATTCGGCTGGTTCCTGGTTTATCAACAAACAAGGAAGTCGTTGGCAGCAAATTTGGACCTGGTCATGCTGCATGCCTTATGATGGCTTGGTTCGTGCCTCAAGCACCCAGACTCAAATGCTTTTTGGCAGAATAGATCAGATCTCGGAGATTATTTTCAGGCATAGTCCATTGGTGTGGCCATTTAATTTGGACATTTCAGAATCGAGAGGACCGACACAGACTCAAGGTAGACATAATCAGTAAAGTTCTGCCTGTTCCCAAAACAATCGTGTTTATGTGAATTTGTCTCCCTGACAGGTCTTGACAGGCCACAAGGAAGTCTACGGACCAATCAGAGGGGCCCGGCTGAATAAACATTCTGTCATCATTTCAGGACTGTGGATTCTATCTGACGTCATCCTTGGTCGTCCTCGGCACCCCCTCGAGAGTGTACGGATCTCTCCAGAGGGAACTATGTGAACTTGAACGATTTACCACTCTTATCGGAACTCTTGCAGTGCCTCTGTGAGTTGTCTCTGGACATGCTCACCGCCCTTGCGTTCCCCAACCCCTGCAGAATGTCTGCATCATTTGTCTTTAATCTTCAGCCAAAGATTAAGAGCATGTTAGGATTTTTTATTTTTTTTGCCTATGTTGTCACTTTCACCACTTATTGTCTGTTCAAACTAGTCTCACTTGTAAATGAGTCTTCAAGGCTCAATGTGATTTATCTGTTTAAATAAAGGTTGAATGAATAAGTGACTAATGTGTTACTCACATGTGGGAACAGGGCTCTGACAGGTAGCTCCAGCCCAACCTTTGGCACAGACGCAAGAAAACTGGTTGACCTCATCCACACACGTCCCTCCATTCATGCAGGGAGACGATGCACACTCATTGACGTCTGAAGGAGACAAACACATTATGCACAGCTGCTACTTTCAAATCTTTGTCAGACTCTATAAAACAGAACTTTGATGCTTGAACCACTATGACCATGACGTATGTAATAAAAATACAGCTTTCATCATCAGTGCCTTGGCAGCACAAACATCATACATGCAGTAATTAGGAAATAAGAGAGCAATGCAGGTTATTGTTTGGTGCAGGCAGCTTGAAGAAGAATCCCCATTTGATAAAACGGTCTTTGGCAGCTAAAGGCTGGAATGGAACATGACACGTCCAAAAGATCTTTGAACAACCAAAAGTCATTAAAAGGACATCCAATCATAGGCTTTGAAATGTATCTCTACATAAGAAATTGTGACATTTCTGATTTACAAAAAGAGATGAGGCAAAAAGAAAGAAGGAGTTAGAGCAAAATAAAGAACGGCAGGAGTGGTGAGACACTGGTGGGAAGAGGAAGACGAGAAAGAGTTGAAATCTTTCCACCAGCATGGCGAGGTGTGCAGGCAGCAGTGCCTTGGTCTCTCACCTCTACATGTGGGCTGCTGGCCACTCCAGACCAGGTTCTCCTGACACACTCTGCTCTCCGACCCCACAAGTTCATAACCAGGGTCACACAGGAAGTGAAGCTCGTGGCCCATGCTGTTTGATTTGCCCAGTTTTCTTCCGTTGATTGGAGCATCCAGTTTTGGGCAGGTACCTGGATGAAATGCAAACTTTAAAACAACCCTTTAAAATAATCTTTCTTTTAGTGTATAAAGATAAGAACTTTATGACATGTCCTGATAAGAACTGGAGGAAATTGTTGTGCCAGGGTTACAATACAGCGTTGGCTTACTGTTTAAGCTTTTTGTTGTCTGCCTCCCTGCGCTGCTCTGCAGTAGATTAATTTTCTTCCTCAGGCTGCGAAGACTCTGCATGCACGTGGCTTCATGGGCTGATAAAAGCTTCTGGACCTGCTTCAGAGAACCTTGTAAGTCCTGCCTGTTGGGGCAGTCCTGGAACAGAACAAATCAGTTGGACCAATTATTAGGATTTGTGAGTATTGTGTTGTTCTTCAGCGCTACTGCAAATTTTAGCAGCATGTTTCTGGACTGTGTGCTACTCTGGTTATTTGTAAAACTACACGGAGCTCTTCCTGAAATGGATTCTGAAGAAGTTTTGGCGTTTTCATGTTGCAGAACAACTCTTTGTCTGTTCTGCTGCAAACAAAGAGCTGTCAATAGTAAGAAACTGCACAAGAACACAAACATCACAAATTTATGAATAAATGAGCAACTGTCTATTAATTATTTTTTTTTGTTGTAATTTGTCGGATTTAAAACAATTAAAACAATCTTTTTTTTTTTTTTACTTTGACACTAAAAATACACAAACGTGCGTTCGCCTCAGATCAATCACACATTCTGTGCACGTTTCTGTGCTGGTCATAAAAAACTTCTCATCACTTAAAATGTGCACAACCCCCTGAGTCCACTGTACCTTTTGGATTGCACTACTTTCTGTAAGAAAATAGTTTAACTATAGCATAAATACTTTTTTTAAATAGCTACAAGTCCGTAAACATGTTCTAAATGGAGAATTTTTCATTCAACCTTTATTACTACAGGTTAGTCTCATTGAGCCTCGAGGACTCATTTACAAGAGAGACCTGATTTTAAACAAAGAACACAGATGAGCAGTGGTGAGATATGACTAAGTACAAGTACTTCTTACTGTACTTAAGTACATTTTTCATGTATCTGAACTTTACTTAAGTAGAGTTAAACGTGGGTACTTTCAACTTTTACTCCACTACATTTAACATCAAGTATATGTACTTTCTACTACACTACTTTTCTATAATGCATTTGTTACACGTTACATTCATGTTGCGTTTTTTGTTGTTGTTCGTTAGTTTGAAAGTAACCAATGGTGAAAGGAGAGTTGGTCCATTGAATCACTGCAAAGTGGGCAGGTAACGTTAGGCCCACCTTCAAGAAGAGCTGGACCAATGACGTATATTCTAGTAAATACGTCAACTTTTACGACAACTTTTACTTATATGTGTTTACTGCAGTTAAAATGACACATTGGTTTTACTTTGTGTTAAATAAAAACTTTCAAAGGTAATAATCATTCCCCTTTTTTTGCTTAATGACATTTAACTCTGTATATTACCTCTGAAATTCTGACACAGAACCACAAGTCCAAGTGTGAACTGTGTCACAGAGTAAACACAATAAAAACATGTATTATCTGCAGCATCGTTCATTAAAATGACTCAACACTATTAATGTATTACAGAAAATATACATACGGTAGGCACATCTAATGATATTGTAGACCACTGCATTCAGCAAGTACTTTTACTTTTAATACTTTAAGTATTTTTTAAAGCAAGTACTTATTTATTTTTACTCAAGTAAAAATGTTAATGTGGTACTTCTACTTGTACTAGAGCACATTTGGGTCTGTTTATTTGTACTTTTACTTAAGTACAGTGTTTGAGTACTTTCTGCACCACTGCAGATGAGCTGCAGACAACAACAGACAATCATATAAAGGAAATGTGTATTGTGCAGAAGCTGAGGTGTTTTTGTGAGTTAATATGTGCAGAGCAGAACACGCACACATGCACACACCTGTGTAATTCAATTCAATTCAAAAATACTTTATTAATCCCAGAGGGAAATTATATACAAAGTAATAATTCCTCCCTGAGTTTGGGGGTCAAGCAGTCAGTCATGACCCCCACCAGCTGAAACGTCTATGTTACAATCTGCCTTTTGTTTTGGATGGAGAGTAAAGGGAGTGACGTGTTCCTGCTCATGGCTGCAGTTGATCTCTCCTTATAACTCTCACTCATTCACTGGCGTCATTCCCCATCAGCCCTGCCCTCTCGTGCATGTTTCCACATAACCAATTAGTGTTTTCATCCAGCAGGTTATGTAAGAAGAGCCAATATTTGTCTAGAACACCTTTCTCCTTTAGGCTGAACTGAGGTTTGGAAAGGCTTCAGTCATCTGGGAGGAGATGGAGGCTGGTGAAAGACCTCTTTCTGCTCCTGCTGGACAACATGTCACCTGGCCTCGTGCTTAACGCAGTCTGTTTATAAGAACCACTCCACAGGCTAATCAAGTTGAACATTCTGAAAAGCAGCTAGCACTTACCATGTAACAACTCCTAAACTGTCACACTTGCGTGTTTTGCAGGCGTCGTCTCACGAGAACACAATCAGAAAGTGTACAAACCTGCCGAGGCCTAATGAGAGCTACTAACAGACACCTGCTGCTTCCTGGGAATGTTTAGCAGCTTTGCATTGAAGCACAGTGTGGCAATAACAAGAGGATTCAGCCACTGAAGGCTGCTTGGATGGAAAGTACATGCAACATTTTCTGTATGAAGTCAAACTACTTCAGACGGTTGAGCTTTTAAACTGAATGTGGCCATTATTCAAGATATAAACCATAAACTTTAAACTCAATAAACCATTAACTCAAGCAGATTTGAGTCAAGCCTCTGTCCGTGCACTGAGATCCTTACCTGTCCTGAAGCAGGTTGAAGTGAACAGAAGCACAGCAAGGTGATGACATTCAGAGCAGATGGAAACATGCTTCTACAATAAAAAGCTCGAGTCTTCGGATGTGTTAAAAGTTTCAGTACGGGAAGAGTGTGCGAGGAATGCAGGTGAGTGAAAGTCCAGAGAGGGAAAGCTGCTGCAGCTGAGTGTTGTGGAATGCTGGGTTTACTTCTCAGGAGCCAATCAGAATAAAAGAGTTGGAAGAAAAATGTGAGCCCCTTATTCTCCCTTTACTTGATTTGGAGTTCACTTCCCTTCAGCTTCAAAATGTGAGGAGCTGTGCCCTCTGCAGGACTACGTGCACGCTGTACATTCATTTCTCTCCTGCACTCAACATGAGATTTCAGAAACAGTCTGGGGACTTTTGTTTCAGTCATTCATGTTTTTAAATCTGTGCCTGAAACCAGTTCATCTCAGGAGGTCTGTTCTCACATCTGTGGCCAAGTTAGGTCATCACCTAGTTTATCGTTAGTGTCTTTTTACCTAAGCCCATGGAGCCCCTGAACCATACAAGAAGAAAGCAAGCAGACCAAACCCCACTCGTTATCTTGCAAATAAAAACACAGCTAACCGGGTCCTTATCCTGTAAAGCGAGGTCTGAACAAACGTTCTTCTTTCAGCTGCTCCATTCTTCAGGAATCACCACAGTGAGCAAACCCACATAAAAGGTTTGGCAATTGTTTGATGCCAGACCGAAACTGGGCTCAAACCAGCAGCCTCAGGATTACAAGACAACAGCATTGACCACTGAACTACCATATTTTTTGGCCTATAAGTCACAGTGCGGCTTATAGACTGAAGCGACTTATTTATGTTTGTATGTTACCACTTTCAGCCGCTAGATGGCACCCGAGTTGTATGGCATGCCGTTGTGTCATGTAAAAGTAGCTATTAATGACACAATCAGCTTGCCACAGCCTGCCGCCTTTGTCCAGCTCCAGGATCATAACTGGAGCAACTGTCATATCTGCTTCATTTCGCTGCACCGCCCCGACGAAATGAAGCAGATTTGACCATTGAAGTCCTTTTTATTAAGTAAAAGTTCAACCGAGACACAACTTTACTATAATGTCGAGCAAACAAATAATTGTTTTAGGCGTTGATCTTGTTAAATTTCAAAGAAATGCGCAGCGTTCCTCCTTCCTGATTTCCTCCCTCTGCGCGCTCCCGAAGCACCAAGGCAGCGAATACTTTTGAAATGCAGCTGATTTGATCGTCAAAGTGCATTTATTAAGGAAATGTTAGACTGAGACACACCTGTACTATAATATCGAGCAAACAAATGTTTGTTTTTAAGTGTTAATCTTGTTTATTTCTTGTTAAAGTCCTACCGTGCACACTCCTGTGGCTGCCATTTTGCAGCCAATAGATTTTTGGCACAACGCCGGCCCACATTTCCGTGTCAGCGGCGATGCGTAACAAACGCAACACGTAAGCGGTGACGCAGAATAGATGCGACTTATATGGCGACACAACATATTTATGTTTTTTTCCACTTTATCAGACATATTTATCTTTTTTTTTCACTTTATTAGACATATTTGGACCGATGCGACTTATAGAGCTGCGCGACGTGTACGACGGAAAATACGGTACTGCTGGCCCGAGGGCTAAATAAATAAATTAATAAATTACTCTGACTTCCTGCTATGTACAAACTCAGTGACCTACAGGTTCCTGCAGTCTCTGTTTCCTCTGGTATCTTTAGCAAGTGGGTTATGGCAGAGTCATCGCTGATGTCTATCTCCACTGGTAAACACACTTCAAATGTCAACCGTTGCTGTCAAGCTAGAGTTGCATTCGGGCCTAACATATCCGACCCGACCCGGGCCCATAGGCATTTCATCCGAGCCTGACCCGACCCGAGCAAATTAACTATAGAGGCCCGAACCTGAAAACCAAAAATTAACTTTTTTTTTTAATTGTTTTTACTACATTTGTAAGCAAATCAGTTTAACATATTTTAAAAATGTATTTAAAAAAGGAAGATATAAGAGTTCTTGTTTTACCAAATGGATATTAACTTACAAAACGAAAAGCCTAAAAATCCACTCTAAAGATAAGTTGTTACAGTCGTCCCTCATTTATCACGGGGGATCCGTACCCTGAAACCCTGTGATAAGTGAAAAACCGCGAAGTAGGAATATTAGCACAAGTAGCTGTTTATTTTAGTATATATATATATATATATATATATATATATATATATATATATATAT